TTTTTTTTTTTTTTTTGAAAAAAAAAAAAGAAAAGTCAAAATCGAAAGCTTAGTGATATTCTTTCGAAAGTAGATGTGCTCAAACTATCTCTTTGAGTAGTCTTGTTGAATACTATATAAATATTTTGTTTTATGGGGACACTTTCAAGGAAACATTGTAAATGTGTTATATATTTCTTATAAATGTTGTCTTCTGTTTTGGTTGGTAGACCTTGTTTTTTTAGTTCTATAGCATGTTTTACTTGTAATAAGTTCGCCCTCTGAAAATGCAGGTTGAGATAATGATTATGGACCTATGGTTATGTATTAGTTATAATGTTGATTTTTTTAATTATATGTTATGTTCTGATCCGTTAATTACACTTACACAGATTGTGAAAATGTAGATTGAGATAATGATTTCCATTATTTGAAAACTGAAATTCCAAAGCTATTTTTAGTTGATATAGGTTGTAATTCAAATAAAAAAAGTTGTATAAATAAAAAACAAAGTTATATTTTCTCTAAGTGAGCCCAAAACTCGAGACAATATATATTTTTTAAATTCAATTTGGACAAAAGCTCAAACCGACTAACCAAACCGATTTGGTTTGGATTGGTTGGGTTTAAGAGCTAGATTGGATCGGTTTGGATTGAAATTCACCTAAACCGACTAATTTGGTTTGGTTTCGGGTAGGGGTCGAAATCAACCCAAACCAAATCGTGCCCAGACCTACTCTTTATCGTTCTCATGTAACCTCCTTTGAATCTTATTTAGAAATTCTCATAACCTACACCTTGCTCTAACAGTTTCCGTCTTCCATTTGTATATTTCACAATCGATATTGGCCAAACATTGGTTGAAACGTTCACTTGCGATCAAAAATCCGGTCTTAAATTCTTACCAAACATTGGTTGAAACGTTCACTAGCGATCAAAAATCCGGTCTTAAATTCTTTACTTCTTATGTAGTTCATTTCGTCCTTTACCTTCAATATACAACTTCAAAATAAAGTAAATCAGCAGCAATGTTATCCCCTTACGGCTGATGACACAATTATAGTTTGGTTTTAATAATAGGTATTTTCATAGATTGTGGTCTTTCCAAATGAAAAACATATTGTAGGCTCTTATCGTTCGTGATATTATTACTGTTTCGCGCGTTTACTCGCTAACAATTAAAAAGGGATCAGACGATTGTGTAATGAACAAATCTCTTGGAACAAAGTCCCAAAAAGGAAGGGTGTTTATTGAATATGAAGATTACAGTTTGGACGCGAACAAGATGCTTCCAAGGGGCGCACGCACACAAGTACAAGGGAATTGAAATAATTAAAGTTAATCTAAGAAAAAGTAAATTACATATTCTCTGTTTGAGAATGAATTTTGTCGGGGCTTTCTTCGTTGTCTTCTTCTTTCTTTTATACAGTTTGGCAGTTTTTAATCGTTTCGAAACTGTTTGAAACCACCCATTTTCTTTATCATGGCTAACATGTCAAAAACTGCCGTTTATAACTGACACCACACGACTCCATACCATTGAGATTCTTAGATTGTGGATGTGGCATGAACTGCTTGAAACCG